CATTTTGTCTTAATATGTTAAACCGTATTAATTTAAAACTCTAATATATAACAATTTGCAGAATAAGCCACAGAATGTCTTCATTTATCCAAGGGGTCATTGCTGATAGATTTTCCCCAGGCCAGGGAAAGCTAGCAAATTGCCAGTCTGGGGGAGGAGTTTAGAACATCTGAGCCCTAGCAATGAAGACAGGTTAACATAATGTATCTATATCCACAAGTACAAAGAAATTATAGCTACGCGCTTTCTGGACATATTTCTGTTGCTGTCAGGATCTACTTCCACCTTCCTCTTCTGTTTTGTTATGGGAAATCTCTGCCCAGGAGGTAGAACCGTGAGTGAAAGCTGAAAATTGGCTTAGGGTATGAGATACCTGGCTATATCATGGTGACAAACTCTGGTGTGACAGGATTTCCTAACCAAAGTCACTGGTGCTGAGAGTGGAAGCTAAGTCTGAAGCAAAGATTAGGCAGTGGGAGGGGCACATAGGCATAGCAAACTTGGAATCCATGATCTATGGCTGACAGAACAAGATGAATTAGAGGCCAAGCCGAGCAAACAGTAACAAGAATCAGACTATCAGATGATACTTACTGATTAATAATGGTGGGGAAAAGCTGGGGAAAAAGCCATGCATTGGGCAAGCATGTCAGGGAAGCAGCAGGAGGCTGGGCCGGGTAACCTTGGCTTGGCTTGGCACAGTTAACTTAGTCACATTTTTGAATAGAACTGGCCAATTGAACTTGTTTTTCCAGGCATAAAGAATGATAGCAGACACTGGATTTTAGGAAATGGAAAAAACAAATTGTGTATCCTTAATTGCTAATCTAAACTCTAAATCAATTGCTTTTCTTGTATAACTACATAGTACATTTTTCATGGACTCTCCAAAGACTGTCAGCATGTTTTCAGTTTTTTTCATGTCCATGTGCTTCTCCTATATTTATTTATTTGATTTTATGCCATTTCTATGGTCCACCTTTAAGATGATTGAAATAATATTCAAATGTTTTTGAAATAATATTTCCTCTTTATAAGAAATCTCTGGGAACCTGCTACTGGGTTGAGCAGTGTTCCTTTCCCCACTTATAAAATACCACCTGCTGTCTTAACATGTTCCAGCAATACCATTGTTGATGTTATTTGGATAGGAAGCTTTAAAGTATGATGAATTTCACAAGTGAATTATCTTAGGAAGAAGTAGTTTATTTCATGTATTTACTTCCTTGAACAAATTTACATGCAAAGATATTGTTAATTTCTGGTAGTGATACTACAAATTCCATTTTTATCAGTCATCATTCAGAGTATTTTATCTAATAATATGATTTAAAAATAGGAAAATATTATACTGAGATACATACATATAAGTGTAATTTGTTTCCTTGTAAGTAGAAACAAGAAGCTTAATTTTGAAAAATTATAGTTTTAGAGCTTCATTGAGAAAGGGCTGATTCTAACACAGTGTAGGGAAGATAAACCTAGAGTGTGATATAGTGCGAGAAAGTAAGAAAGTACTTAAGAAACAAAAAAAAAAGAAGAAGAAGAAGAAGAAGAAGAAATGTAGAAGAATTTAGAATATAAGACTCAACCTGAAAGAGCTCCTAATGGCCAAATCAAATAATTTGAGCAACAAAATTGTGATAGAATTGGATTATAACCTGATGAATAAAATAACTTCATGAGCCCATACTGATAAAAACCAATGATTGAATAAATGCATAAATGGGCAAGGAAGCACAAATCTTCCTTACAGAGTTCTAGATGATGTTTGTAGACACTCCTCCTTACAGGACACAGAGCTTTAGTTTTCCTCCCTTTGCGTATGGACTGAACTTGGTAACTCATTCCCAAGGAATACCGTATGGGAAGGGAAAAATACTAGCTTTATAGTGGAGAAATCCTCCAGATGTTACCTTAGCCAACTGATCAAGGTTAATATTATAAATCATGTTGACATCCTATATTCCCTGAGCTTGGTTTTATGGTATTTTTTTTACAAATCTACAATCCCACTCTAATCATGGAAAATGTGAGATGAACCTAAATTGAGGGTCTTTCTATAAGATACCTGATTAGGAACCTAATGTCAAGGTTTTTAGGAACCTTGCTTTATGCTACATTAGGAACCTAATGTCAAGGTGTCAAGATTATAAAAAATAAAGAAAGAATGAGAAGCTGTCACAGATCAGAGGACACCAAGCAGACATACAACTAAATGCAGCACGGTATGTGGGATTGGATCCTTGTACAGGCAAGGATGTTGCTGAACTAAAAGATAAAGCCTAGTTTAGTTTATTGAACATCTCACATTATTCCAAAATAAAAGTTTTTTTTTTTTTTTTTTTTTTT